TATGTTGGCCAAAAGGTAGATCTCCCACAGTGATTTTCCAGCTGGGGTTTTACCATTTGCCCATCCTTTCAGGGCGGTATTTGTAAGAAGTCTTTTTTTTTTTTTTGTATTTAAACATGTTTTTGTTTATGTGTGTGACTTTAGGGGTGTATATGTCTATTGTGGTGGCATTTAAATGCAGTTGTGTATATGTACTGTTGCAATTTCTAAACTGTAGTGTACTTGTGTGTAGTGTTTGGGTTTGAATGTAGTGTTGGCATTCGAAGGCAGGTGTGCATTTTTGTGTAGTGTTGGTGGTGTGTTTGCAGTTCTGGCATTTGTTTGCACTGGTATGTTTGTAAGTGGTGTTAGTGTTTCAAGGCAGGGGTGTGTTTGTATTGTAGTGTTAGTGTTTAGATGCAGGGTTTATTTGTGTGTAGTGTTGGTGTCTGAATGCTGGGAAGTAGGCACATACACTGCCAGACAACCATACTAACACAGATGCACAATAACACACAGATACACACAGATACACATACACACTGAGTCTTAAATTAGAGGGGCAAAGGTTTAAAAATAATATCCGGAAGTATTACTTTACTGAGAGGGTAGTGGATGCATGGAATAGCCTTCCAGCTGAAGTGGTAGAGGTTAACACAGTAATGGAGTTTAAGCATGCGTGGGATAGGCATAAGGCTATCCTAGCTATAAGATAAGGCCAGGGACTAATGAAAGTATTTAGAAAATTGGGCAGACAAGATGGGCCTAATGGTTCTTATTTGCCGTCACATTCTATGTTTCTATATACATACACTTTGATGTTTGCATATAAAGGTGGACACATTCTTAATGATAAATACTCGTTTTTATGGCAAAAATTCAATTTTGTGTCCTTATCATCTGTGAATTCAAGTCACTGCGTTTGTAAAACAAATTCTCGAGATCTATGTTATATACTGGACCATTGAGCAATAGAAGAATGTTGCCTGTCTGATGAATCACATTTTCATTTAGATCAGATGGACGGCCGGTGCATGTGCGTCATTTACCTGAGGAAGAGATGGCAACATGATGCACTGTGGGAAGAAGGACGGCTGGCAGCATTCCCAGCAATGTTTTGCTGGGACACCTTGGGTTCTGGCATTTATGTGCATGTTACTTTGACACGTACCTAGAGATTGTTGCAGACCACGTACATCCCTTCATGATAATGGTGTTCTCTGATGGCAGTGGACTCTTTCAGCAGGATAATGCACCCTGCCACACTGCAAAAAATGTTCAGGAATGGTTTGAGGAACATGACAAAGAGTTCAAGGTGTTTCCTTGGCCTACAAATTCCCCAGATCTCAATCCGATTGAGCATGTGGATGTGCTGGGGCAACAAATCCGATCCATGGAGGACCCACCTCGAAACTTGCAGGACTTAAAGGATGTGCAATTTTATATTTAAGAATTGTCAGTACAAGGCAAAATATTTTTTTTTTTATCCAGCTACATGTTGTGTATGACTTTCACTGCTTGTTTTGTGTTTGTCTCTGCTATTGCTATTTATGTATGATTGTTAATGTATGCACTTTTTTTCACTGTCTTTTATATGTTTGTCACTGCCTGCTCTGTATGTTTGTCTGTACCTGAGATGTGTTTGTCACTGCCTCAGCTGTGTGTTTGTCACTGTCTGCTCTGTTTGCTGGTCACTGTCTGCTCTGTATGTTTGTCATTGCATGAGCTGTGTGATTGTCACTGCCTTCTCTATATTGTTGCCACTGTCTGCCCAGCAAGCTTGTACCTGTATGCTATGTGTATCACTGCATGCTCTGTGTTTTTGAAAAGTATTTCTCTGTATGGGTAGGAATGTCATTTGAAAGTTGATTTTATGCATATCTTTGTGTGTTTCTGTATCTGCCTGCTATGTGTGTGTATATCGATCTGTTCTTTTCTTACCTCTAGCTATTCTGCTATTATTTTGTGATGTGCACACCTGACAGCCTAATATGTCTGTGCATGTCACAGCCTGCTCTCTTAGTTTGACACAATGTGTTTTGTATGTTTAATTGGCACTGTTATCTCATTCTGTGCATCTGACACTGCCTGCTTTCTACCTGCGCAGTGTACACAGGATGATTGAGTTAAGATCAAGGCTCGTCTTCCTCATTTACCCCTCGAAGGTTTATATTGCTGTTCCAGCACTGTCAGCACGTTTTGGCCAGTGGGGGACTTGTGTGAGGTGCTGGTAGTGGGAGTATTACGTGCCAATCTCTAATCACCCCCTCTGTCTTCTTTCATTCCTATGACATGACTGGCAGAGAGAATTAAGCATTAGCTCTTTTTGGAGTAAGGAAGGGATATGAGAGCTTGTTACTTTTAGAGCCAGGGTGATAACAGACATGTAGAAATTTTCACTTTACAGGTGTCCAGAATCCTGGCATAGAATACTTTGAATGGTATGCTGAAGTGCTAGGCCATTATGTCCTTGGACCTTTGGCAGTGCTGATGTTTGTGGGCTATCTTTTGTGTGATACTGGGTCGGCCTATAGTAGCTCACTAACCTCCGCAATACTAAGGTAAGTCATAAAAATCCATAGTCTCGTGGTCTTTAGCATGTAGGACTGACCCCGGCATGTATTTGACAAGGTACACATATATTATTGCTTTATCTATAAAATATGTTATCACTATGTAATTTTTACGTATGTCCTGAAAACAACAGTCATTCATTTTGTCAGACAGTTGCCATTTGGGACAATTGATCCATTTTAGCTTGCGTCTCGCTCTTGGGGTCACAGGATAAAAGTCCAGAGAAAATGCAACAAAAGTGTGTCATTAAACCAGATTACAGCAATAAGAGATTAGTACAGAGCATGTCCATCACAGATGAGATACAACCATTGAGTTCTATGTAAAATACTCCATAAAGGTAGGCCTCACCTGTAATACTTTTTTGTAGTTGTAATTCACGATCGGCTGGAGTTTATTATGACTTGGCATAAATGACTTGTAATTTGGCTCAATTTATATATAAGCATGTATACTGTCTGGTATCTCAAGGTCTGAATGTAATATTACTTGGCATGACTGGGGGTTTGTTTACTAAACATCAAATTGTACTGAAGTGAAAAACAAACTTCTAAATTTAGGTTGCAGGATTCTTGAAATCTGCTTTTTTATGCCTAAATTTAGCAAATAGTATTGAAGATTTACTCAATGCAACAATAGTAAACAAGTAAGGAAAAAAGCCAAATTAATCATCGTGTTTACATACTCTAATGGATGCCACTGTTCACCTGGATCATGGAGGATCTTGGTGGCCAGACTCCTTCCCATAGACAATGGGCCCTGTCTCAAAACACCCTTAGAAGTACCAAAAGGACTATTCTCACCATTCCTGAAGCTTAGCAGCTGCAGATTCCTTAAACGCCCAGGATGCCAGCCACCTGGTAGAGACCAGGGTGACACGCGGAAATCCTAGCTGGCCGCATGGAACTATACACTGGTTCAGAACTTACTCATGGCTGGTCAGAACATTAACCAGGTGGTGATTGGACAGAAAATGTGGTATCAGGGTGTTCTTTGGACAGTGGGTAGCTGAGGGGGTGAGCTGTTCTGGTATGTATTGATTGTTGGGGAAGGGCGTTTTAGGGCTCCAATTTCACGGCACCCCTGGTGTTTGTGATTCTGGTCACCCACTTTAGGGTGACTACACATTGTGTACTGTACAGATATGGTGTTTCTGTGCAATAAAGTATACTTAGTTTTCACCCTCCATCAAGCCTTGGTTGATGTTTTGGGAAACTGCAAAGCGTTCTATGATCACTCATGACGTTATATGCCATAAATGGTAGGGACACTAACGGACATACTCCGGCTTAGTACAGCAGCTTAGATACCCATACTTTGCATAATACACCATAAAGCGGGGCATTAAGCAGAGTACACAAGTGACCAAAACAGAGGCCTCAGCTTAGAATGCAAGGCAAGAGCTTTATAACTGAGATTTTAATTTGCTACAAATCGATGTTTAGTGAACAAACTCCAAGATGTTAGGAATACATCACCTAGGAGGTATGATGTATCATAAAAGCACTATGTATAGTAGATGAGTCTACTGGCTTAATTTGGGACGAACAAAAAGAATACATAACAGCACATCTCTGTCTGGGCAGAGGATTGCACACACTTGTTGATATTTATAAGAGTATCGCATTCTGATAAGTGGTGCACATTTCAGTAAGAACATCTCATTGATGATTCCTCCACGTCTACATCTTCGTACCACTATACTTTATACTTTGACAGATTAACGTAAGACACCTTACCTCCTGTGTCATATTACCCCACTCCCCTTAGAATGTAAGCTGGTTTGAGCAGGGCCCTGAGCACCGTCTGTTCCTGTATATCCAACTTGTCATGTTGCAAATACTTGTCTGTCAGACCACCAATTGCACAGCACTGCGGAATTTATTGGCGCTTTATAAATGGTAATAATAATAATAATTAGAAGAAGAAATCTCCCTCCCCACTTATGATTGGCTAATGTAACATACCACCTGGTTGGTTCCATTTAATGCTTCCTACTTAGGCAATTCTTTAAGGCTATAACTGTCTTAAAAAGATGCATGTGATGATATGGAATGTCAGACACACTGGCGAATGTATATGCTCACAAAAGAAAAAAAGTCATAAACTATACTAAATACTTACATAATTCAAAAGTAATAATGTTTTAACTTTGCAAACTGTGTGGGTTATTAACTAACTGTGCCTTTATTACTGAGGATATTACAGGAATATTAATTATACATCGTATAGTATTAAATGACAGGAATTTTATTATACATATAGCAATATCTGTCCATTAATATAAATATATTAAATGGCTTCCAGCAATCTTGGTTTTGAAAGCAGCGCAGGGAGGGATATTTCTTATCAGCTAGGACAGACCGGACCCCTGGTCCTTATCTACAGCCACACACTTCCTCTAACCAAGGAGAGAAGGAAATGTCTGCTCCCCCCCCCCGTCTCCCCTACATTCCCTCCCCCCATTCTAACCTAACTCCACCTCTCCCCTCGTTAGGTGGATTTTAGATTTGCGCAGTCCATGAAGGAAAATCCCTCTAGAAGTTAGGACAGAGGCTACCCCCTGTGAAATTCTGACTTTCTTCCTCACCCCCATCTCTTGTGACAAAAGATGAATATGTAGATTTTTCTGGGTAGTTGATATGGGTAAGTCTGTGGCACTTTTGTGCACGTCATCTATCTATCTATCTATCTATCTATCTGTCTGTCTGTCTATCTATCTATCTATCATGCTTTGACCAGTTTATTATATCTATCTATCTATCTGTCTATCTAACTATCTATCTATCTATCTATCTATCTATCTGTCTGTCTGTCTGTCTGTCTGTCTATCTATCTTGCTTTGACCAGTTTATTATATCTATCTATCTATCTAGCTTTCTGCGTGTCTGCCTGCATATCACTTTCATTGTCAATAGTTGTATATCTGCTTCGAAGCATTTATTTATTTAACTAGACTCATAGCTGCATCGGTCTATCTTACAAATTTTATTGGTCTGTTTGTAGGTTTACCTAATCAATTTCAACCACCATCTGCTTTATCTTTATTTATACATTTGAACTCAGATCTTCCTCTATCTGCTACCCAGTGCGCACATCTGTGTGTTTATCCATCTATTATTTATCAGTCTCATCTAATATTATATCATAATTTATCGTGTTTGTATATCCATCTTTATAAGTATAAACTAGCTTGTACTTCATGTGCCATACAGTAATTGTTTGAAGGTAGAAGTTGCTTATTACGTATTTTGTAAATCTGAAAGTTCGGTATTTCACCCTAATGTTTTAGAAGGTGTATTAATTCACATATGGCATATTAACGTGGTAACTGTGTAGATAGATTTGAGCAAAATCTGTGCATGTCTCTTTGTTTATACCGTTGTTTATCCTCTGCATATTTATGGACAATTGGATCTAGTATGAAGATTAGTTGACAATCATGCAACGCAGGGAAGTTAAGTAAGAGTATTTTTTTTAATTTTTTTTATGGGTTGCAAAATGCTACTTTTACTTTGTTCTAAGAGTGCACTTTTTGGGATGTGAGAAAAAAAATAGTCTATATATTGATAAATATATACATTCACAAAAATGAAGACAATATTTAAATGCGTAAAAGTGTGTTTGTCCAAGTTTGTTGATATATGTTCATTTATAGTACACATGCTGTTGCTAAAAATCATAATAACAGAAATATTAGAGTGTGCAGAATACCCCCCCCGCCTCCCTCCCAATCTATTCTTAGAGAAATGGAGAAGTCCTGGGGGGAAGTTTAATACACATAACATTAACCACTGTGCAACACATGCACTTTCACATACATCCTGCACACATGCAACTCACACAATGCTCCAAATACACCCTGCACACAAACTATGTCCTCTGTGTTACACATACATCCTGTCCACATGTCACACACACACATGGACAATATTCCAAATACACACTGCATAAATATACTGTACATACAGCGTTTCACATACATGTGCAGGACATATGAAAATAAACACACACACTCTGTTCCACATACACAGTACACACACATCCACTTTTTGCATTTTTGTATGCTGGACACATGAAACACACACACACACACACACATATATATATATATATATATATATTTCATTTATATATACACACTGATCCAAATATAAACTGCACACACACACATAATGCACATACAATGTTTAAAATACATTCAGGAACACACATAAACACCGTGCTCCAGATACACAGTGTTACTCACTGTCACTGTGCTAGACATATATCACAAACACACAAAATGTTCAAGATAAAAACTACACGCTCTCCTTCTGTATGTATATTTTAATTACATTCTGGAGCATTACATACAATACTCCAGTGTTTCTTACACACTGTATTCACATTCCATACCTGCAGGCCCACGCACATACACAATGTTCCAAATACAAACTGCACTCACATATACTACATATGCTATGTTTTAAATTCATTCTGGACATGTTACATACAAACAATGATTTATACACATATTATACACACAATACTGCAAAATACACAATGTAGTCACATTGTATGCATACAATGTATAAAATACTTTCTGGACACATGACACTCAAACATAATATTGTACACACATACTATACATATAATGTTTCACATACATTCTGAGCACAGACAATGGTCTAAATACACATTGAACACACACTCTGCATATACAATATAAATAAACAGCTAGAATCCTGCACAGAACTCCACTATATTAAGTGACTTCATAGATCTTATATGGCATACACATGCTATAAAATTCTCTTGTATGTGCTCTTTAGTGATTCTTTATGACACATGTACATAAAAGGCACACGTGTGAGCTGTGTATCTTGTTCAATTGAAAACGAAACATGAATTAATCTACTCAGCACACCAACAGATTGCACAGGATGGTATTAGTTTCTCAGAGGGCTTCGTTCACGTTAAAATTCATTTAAATTATTTATGATTTCTGAACAACATATCCCACGAACCCCTGCTGGGCACTATGGGGAAAGAAGCCCCTGATATGTTGTAGCACATTCTAATAAATACCACTTTGCAAAGGTGCAATGTACATATTACTTTTGTTTAAAGAAAAAAACCCTGTAATATATTAACATCACTGTTTAAATAAAATACTACGTGTTATAGCCTAATTTCACTCTTTTCTAATGCTGATACACTGCAAGTGAAGCCAGTGTGTTAGCATCATAGAAGAGAGTTGCCCTGCTTGGAGAAGTGCTCCCATGCAGAGCCAGTCACTGCCTAGGGACGACACACAAGCGAGGGATGACCGGCAGGACTACATAATATTGTGTCAAAGCATTTCTGCGGAATAGTCCCTATTCCATCCCACCACAGCCCCTGTGCTGTCACAGCCACTATCTCTCCACTACAGCACATATACCCCTTATTCCCTAACCACAGTCTCTTCTCCCACTCAACACATAACAATCATTGTCTCTCCCAAAACATACAACAGTCCCTATCACCCCAAAATGCACACTATTGCCTCTATACCCTGCAAAGATACACTGATGCCCCAATTTACAACCATACAACCCCAATTTACCCCCACACACACAACAGCTTCAATTCACCCATACACGCACTGCAGACCCATTTTTATTCCCAAAACAAACCAGATAGCCCCTATACAGCAGCTACAACAACAAACACACACACACACACACACACACTATATCCTCCCAAATACACATACTAGAGCCACTATGCCCCTTAACACACAATCATTACAGCACCTATCCACAAACAGCTCCTATTTATATGCTCACACACATACTACACTGCAAACAGTCCCATCCACACACAACCCGCAACTACACAAGCATCATCTCCCCCACGCATACACTCCTACAAGTATGTTCCCCACATACACAACCTCACAAGTCGCACCTCCACACACACAAACAACCCCACAAGCAGCCTCCACAAAAACAAGCAACCCCACAAACAGCATCTCCGCAAACCTTGCGTTCCCCAAACTTTTGCATATATGTATGTGTAATTTATATTATATATTAAATTAACTTACATTGGCAGAGCCCAACAAGTCAGGGGGCAAAGTCAAATATTAGTGGTAGAGTCTAGTCCCACACCATCATTAAACTTGACCAGCCACTTTTGCCTGGGATTGTTAGCAGATAAACAATGGTTTATCAAGGGTTTGCTGTCCAATATAGCAATGGTAAGCCAGGAAATGCACTAAAAAGAGGTTTCATCTCATACGTTATTAAATGTAAAATATAACACAACAATGCATATAACCTTTTATATTCAGTGAAAATCAAACCTGATGACAGTTGATCTTTAAATGCTGTTAGGGTTTGGGCACTGTTTAAAGGGACACTTAAAGCACGTAGACCACTAAATCCAGACAACCACTTGAGACACTTTCCCCAAATGCAGAGGGGGGCGAGAGAAGCTATGGTTTTTGCCATACCACTCCCAAACATTTCCACAGACAACCTGGATACACTGAGCTATAGTGGATATGGTATTTAAAGTATCCCTTCAAAGTAAAGTATTTTTTTCCATCTTAGCTGTTAAGTTCGGAAAGGGAAGCTTTTTTTTAATTGACCACTAAAGGCACCAATTCTACTTCATCTCAATCCAATGATGTGGGAGCAGTGGCCGTGTTCTTTCAGCCATTCAATGTAAAACATAGCCATTTAGTAGATACGGCAGTTTTTGGATTGAAGGTTTTAATTTTCCTGACAGCCACTACCAGCGCCTACACTGCAAAGACTGTGTCTCACTTGGTCATGTGACGTTCAACATCCATTAAGACGCTGAACGTCATTAAATGCAGCTCATTGGATACAATGCTTCCCTATGAGAATAATTTCACTTGGTGCTCAAAGGGATCACTGTGCATGTGCATTTTGTTTAGTTACACTGGATATGTAAAAATGATTTACAAAAATGTTGTAAAAATTATATTTTTCCATTTCTAACATCTTATTCTTACACTTATTGTTGTGTTAGGTATACATATAGGATATTAAATAAAAGCCCTTTCTATATTTTAAAAAACAATATACAAAATGTATGGTGTTAAAAATCCCTTCTGTCACTAAGAAGTCCCTTGGCGCTGCATCAGGCTCTGCCTCTGCTCCTAGGCAGACGTTGGCGGGTGAATCTAATGCGTATCCGCGGCGAGTGAGACGCTGGATGTCCTCATGCATAGGCTGAGAACTTCCAGTGTCAGTTAGGCGACCAAAACTCGAGTTAACCCTGGCAGGTAATTATTACAGTTTATTAAAAACTGCTATAATTACCATAGCAGGGTTAAGGGACCTGGGACAGTGCACAACCTGACCACTTTTTATGAACTGAAGTGGTCTGAGTGCCTGTAGTGTCCCTTTGAGGACCACATAAATGTCCATGCCGTCATACAATGCAGGGCTTTCATGCCCAGAGATGGCATAGGTCATCACGCAGAAAAAATAAAAGCTGGGGTTAAATCCCTGCTGGTACCAACGAACCCCAGGTATCTTTTGATACCTGAGGGTACCCCCTGCCCACTGGTGCCACAATTAGTGGTGTTAGGAAAACAGTTTTGTATTCCTAACGCTATAAACAAACAAACAAAAACACTCCAAAAACAACACTTTGAAAATAAGAAAATTATAATATGTTGTGGTAATGAAACCCCAAAACATGAACATGCAGCACTTAGAACCAAAATATATTTTTGTACTGAGCACTATACTTTCACATTTTTGGGTTTGATAACCACAACATATTTTTGTTTGTTTCTTTGGTGTGGTGTTTAAGGAGATAACCCACATGAGTGTTGTAGCAATTGATTTTTCAAAAGTATTTATTTTACTATAAGCTCCATTTCAGTGGCTTTTCAGTGAGCATCTGATTACGTTCTACGGGGACTTTTTTATCCCATAAACTTCTATCTAGCAATGACTTATGGGATAAGTAGTTTATACCACAGCAATAGTTCCACTCATCATATACGATAAAACCAGGCCAAGTCCTGCACATAGTGCGTGCTCACCGGATGCACAAATTGTATAATATCTCATTCACAAATACACTCTAAAAAACACAGTTCTTACGAACACGCTCACATTTACAAACATCCACAGACAATTCTGAAATATAGAAACAGGGTATGGATAAGGTTATACAGCTTCACACTATATGTGAATGATATTTTAACTTTATTATATTGTTTTGTTAGTAGGTGCCTATAGGGTGGCATATTAGAGTAATAGGATATCAAATCATGATTAAAATAGCAACAACCCAGAAAAGGGTTTTCATGTGCATGTTCATTCTTACAATGGAGTTGGACGCTTGCGTTTTGAAAGGTTCTGTGGTTCTTATTAAAATCAATAGTGGTAGGTAGAATCACGAGAATTTGAAACCGAAAAAAAATATTTATCACATGAATCATGGTAGAAGCTGTACCTGAGAAGGACTGGGACAGAGCTAATGCAAATATTGAGGAACGCATGGTGCTACATAGTGCAAACTATAGTTATAAAGGGAGAGATTTATCAATGTATTCTGAAAAAAAAAATCCTTTATTTTTGGTCTCTAATCTGTATCTTTTAAATTGCATTTATTAAGTTGTATTAAAAATGTCAGCTTTCATAAAATTAGGCATTTCAGTAAAGACTGCTGAATATATAGAGGTGGGAAAAAGAGAAGTGAAATAAAACACGTTTCTGGTGTAAACACGACAGAAAGGTTAATACCAGAAAGATTGTGTGCATTTCAAATTTACTGTTAGGGTGCATAGTAAACAACTGACAAAATAACTTGAGCCCATAAAGACAACAACAAAACAAACAAAAATGGAGCAAAGCAATATTTGACACTTTGATAAGTGTCCCACATTGATTCAAAAGGTGCCACAGCAGCAGAAGTGGGTTGGTTGGTAGTGGAATAGTGGAAAACAGTGGAAGTGGGTAATTGCTTGGTGTCAAACTGCAAGGGTCAAATAAGCCACTGAGGTAGCTTGTGAGAAAGCCAGAAACCTTAGATGCCAAGGGCCCTGGACCACCAAACCTGTCAGGAAACCAAGAGAAGAAGAGGTATTGTGGTAAAACAAGATGGTTTGTTGGGTCTGGTAGTGGCCAAGGTTCCTAGACCACTAAACCTCTCAGGGAACCAAGGGAACAAGAGGTATTGTGGTAAAACAAGATGGTTTGTTGGGTCTGGTAGTGGCCAAGGTTCCTAGACCACTAAACCTCTCAGGGAACCAAGGGAACAAGAGGTATTGTGGTAAAACAAGATGGTTTGTTGGGTCTGGTAGTGGCCAAGGTTCCTAGACCACTAAACCTCTCAGGGAACCAAGGGAACAAGAGGTATTGTGGTAAAACAAGATGGTTTGTTGGGTCTGGTAGTGGCCAAGGTTCCTAGACCACTAAACCTCTCAGGGAACCAAGGGAACAAGAGGTATTGTGGTAAAACAAGATGGTTTGTTGGGTCTGGTAGTGGCCAAGGTTCCTAGACCACTAAACCTCTCAGGGAACCAAGGGAAAAATAGGTATTGTGGTAAAAACAAAAAAACAAAAAAAAAAAAGATGGTTTGTTGTGTCTGGTAGTGGCCATGTAATACTACTGAGTTACAATTAGTGTAGACAACTTTTTTATATTTCTAAATATCTGCATTAAATAAAAAGTCACAAAAAGTTATGAAATGATTAGATGGGAATAGATTATATCAACTAATTGATTATGTAAAAGACACAATACACATTTCCAGAAATCGCAAGTCAAACATAATCACCTTTCCCTATCTGCAAGATAACGTGTTGCAATGATTAATCGTCCACAGCTGCTGAAAAATGAATAAAAAAAATAAAAAATCATGCTGAACATGTCATCTATTAGTGGGTACGCACGTAGGGATTACTGAAGACAATACATAAAAATTAGATTGATAATTAGATTGAAGAAGAATACAGCTGAGCCTTACTCGAAGATTCTTTAACCATGACAATAATTACATAATTTTACATTTGAGAATAAATATAATCCTCATTTTGAGGGTATATCAACTCAAGGAGTGTTTTCGATATGCTCTAAAATACAAACTGCGTGCAGTCAGAACTTCCAAAATGTAAAACCACAAGCAGGACAGTGTCATTGAATCCCGATTTCCTTTTTTGATGTTTTTGTAGACAGGATATTTAATAAAAACAGACTGAATAGCCAGTTTGTAGTATGATCACCCCACATATTATTTATAAAGCGCCAACAAATAGCACTGTACAATAGATGGACTAACAGAGGGTGTTGAGGGCCCTGCTCAAAGTGGCACAAGAGATAAGGGAGAGATGTATTTCATGTACAGGAAAAGTAGGTTGCTAGAATAGTTTACAGTGAAGGGTTAGTTTTTCTGGATGACACGAACAGGGTCGGTTATAAAGTTGTTGGTAGGGAAAGCTATTAGCAGTTTAATTGATTTGCTTTGCTAAAGAAGCAGTTTTTTGATAATTTTTTTGAAGGTGTTGAGACTGGGTGAGACCCTAACGGAGCAGAGAAAGGAGTTCCATAGAAACAGCGCAGCCCTAGAGAAGTCTTGAAGGTGGACCTCACAGGTGCAAGTACCAACAGGTAATAGACACAGATGTTTGACAGAGTGTAGGGCCCTGAACTGGGCATACTTGTGTATCAGTAGGGATAGGTAGATAGGAGCAGCATTATGTGAAGGTTTGTAAGCAAGCACCAGAATTTTAAATTGAGCCCCATATCTTGCAGGAAGCCAATGTAAGAATTGACCGAGGGGGGAGGTATGGGAGGTGTGGGCCGACCGGAAGATGAATCTCGCTGCCGTATTCATTATGAATTGTAATGGGGCCAGCTGGGAATGCGTAAGACCACTGAGAAGTGGATTGCAGTAGTCAAGGCGAGTGTTGTAACCGGTGTTAGATAGGGGCGGATGCAATCTATGTTTCTGAGATAGACTGGACTGGACTTGAGGGGCGGAGAGGTTGGAGTAAAAAAAAACACCTGGCAGTGAGCCTATGAGGTAGAGCTGATGGTAGTGCCATTGAGTTGGAGACAGAATGACACAGGAGTAGCAACACTTGAGGGAGGAAAGACCAGAAGCTCTGTTTTGGACATGTTAAGTTTTAAGAAAATGAGCAGCAGTCCACTTGGAAATAGCAGAGAGCCAGTCAGAGACACGAGTCAGGAAGGACTGGGAGAGATCAGGAAAGGACAGATAGATTTATGTGTCATCGGCATAGAAAAGATACTGGAAGCCAAAAGAGTTGATGTGTTTACCAAGGGAGGCAGTATAGATCGAGGACAGTAGAGGACCAAGGAGAGAACAGAGAGGGGTTGTGGAGGAGAGGAAGAACCAGAAAAAGAAACACTGAATGAGCATTGGGAGAGGTAGGAACTAGGAAATCGAAGTGTCTCGTAGAACGAGATTATGAGAAGAAGTTGTTGATGATCAACAGTGTCGAAAGCAGCTGAAAGGTCAAGTAGAATTAAGAGAGAGTAGTGGCCACTGGATTAAGTTTCCAATTAAGTCATTGGAAGCTTTGGTCAGGGCCATTTCGACATAGTGACAAGTGCAGAATCTGGACTGAAGCAGGTCGAGCAGAGAGTTGGATTTGATTTTTACAATCAGGGTGATGGTTGCATGCAGAACGGTGAAGGAAATATGGCAGAGGAAAGGGAGAGATTGAATATTTATGGACTGGCAGGGCAAGAGAAATAGACAAAGCGCTGGTGAGATGGGAGGGAATAGGATCGAGGGAACAAGTGGTGGGGCTAGAGGACCGAAGCAGAGCAGAAACCTCTGCTTGCATAGCATGTGCGAGTGAGTATAAAAAAAGAGGAGGGTGCAGGGTTGAGAGAAAGAGGGGAAGGGATAGGAGAGATATAAAAGTTATCTTCTCTGATCATATAAATCTCAGTGAATTTTGATGCATAGTTTATAGTGGTATAGTTAGTAGGAGGAGGAGCAGCAACAGGGCAAAGAGGTGACAGTGTGAAAGAGGTATTTGGTTTCTTGGAAGAGTGTGGTTATTGGGTTTTGAAACAGGTTTCTTTTGCGGAGGAAAGAGACAAACTGTAGGAGTGCAGCATAAATTTATAGTGGAGGAAGTCAGATGCAGAATGAGACTTCAGCAGCGTTTAACAGTTGTGAAGCATTTTTGGAGGTAATGAGTCAACTTGGTGTGCCAGGGTTGTAATCGGGGCCGCTTACAACATTTAAATACAAGAGGTGACATGATATCTAGTTGAGACGACAGAGTGGAGTTGTAGAGGGAGGTTGCAGAGCTAGGTCAGGTGATGCTTGAGATGAGTGAAAGGAGGTTTGTTTGGAGGTTGGTGGAGAATTACTGTAGGTTAAGACAGTGGAGGTTTATACGAGATTGGTGTACTGATGGTGGTGTGATATGGGTATGGGATATGCCAATGTCAAAGGTCAGCAGATGGTGGTCAGGTAGAGGAAATGGAACATTAGAGGGTCAGAGGCAGTACAGAGATTGGTGAAGGTGAGATCAAGAGTGTTTCCCGCTGAGTCAGACCATTGAATATATATACATTGTGTATGCTCTCACAAAATATGTCAGCTTGACTATGGACATGCTACTGGACTCTTTGACCTAATTGTTGCAAGTAATTCTGAAGGTTGAAGTGTGTGTCATTGAATATCTGTAAGTGTTTAGGGTAGTTTAGATTACCCACTGATATCTCTGGGTATTTCTGAAGACTTTTCAGGGTGTTTTTTTTGGGTGCTTAGTTTAAAAACTCTTCAGATAATCTATTAAAACATTAAAAATCATCAAAAGAGTACAAAGTTACAACATCTCACTTGTTACCTTTACCTGATTAAAAGTTAAAAAACCTCCCCAGTGATGTCATTACTGACAGGGGAGAAATAATCTAGTGAGGGGAGCAAGCATGCTGCAAAATGCACAGTGCAGAGCTCTCTCACATCAGCAAAGTGACTTGCTCTAACAGTATTCTAGGGTTAAGGTTCACATTAGGGTTAGAGTTAGAGTTTGTTAGTGTTTAGGTTAGGGTTAGTTAGTGTTAGTGTTTGGGATTTAGAGTTATGGTTAGTGTGGCGAATACCACCCGAGCCATATTAAAACTCCCACAAAAGACTATATCACTCCCCTGGCTCCCTGTTCCCCCTCCCCTCCATGTATTCTAGCTAAGAGCCCCGCTACAATCAGGTCTGCGAACCGTGACAGAGAGCCGGAGTATCCAAACACCTTCAACAGGACCTTCCTCTGACTCATTTGGAACTCCAGCTCGACTGCAATCACCATCCCGGCCTGGTCACATTGCTTCCCGGTTTTCACCCATTTCCCAATGGGCTAGGAGAGTGCTTTTTGGAGGGGAGCTACAATTCATCAAGAGGAACAATCGCTACATGTGACAGCCAGGAGGAGCCGCCTTGCCTCGACACACCTGAGGCTCCAGTAAATGACTGGCGTATTGCAACAAATGCCTGGAACTGATTTGGGTTAGAACTTGTGTAGCGGTCGGTCAGAACTTTGTACAGATGGCAATTTCCCAATTCTCCATGGATCCAGGCGCTATTTTTACAGGATGGGAGCTTGAGGCAGAACTATCTGGCGATGTATAATGTGTGGTGGTTAGAGGATGTTTTGGTAACGTTTCTGAGGAATTTCTGTATTGATTTCTCTGTGTCTAGGAGATGATTGGTTTAGCGAGAGTTTACTTAATTATCTCCCAGACTGGGGAAATATTTTCCATGACTGGGGAAAGGGGCTAGAAACACCAAAAGGCTCTTCTTTCAGCTAAGAGGGAAACCCAGCTGGGATATAGAAGCTCTGCTACAGCTAGTATTTAGGATTATTTAGTGTTATTATTTAGGGGTAGTAAGAATTTATGTTTAGGGTTACAGTTAGGGTTAATATTATTGTAAGGATTAGCATTAGACTGTGACCTTCACTACCCTTGGTAAATATAAATAAAAAAGATGGTGAAAAATTATTTTTATTGTTTGAACATTTGATCTTTTGTTAAAAAAATACATATATCTTGTGGATATTAATCAATTGCATTTGCCACCTTGAAACTCATTCTGCACAGAACTCTCGTGGGGAGAAGATGGAACTATTTTTGTTGAGTCGGATTTTTCATCTGTTTTTCTGTGTGTGAATTGATTGTTTTATATATCAATAGTTGCATTGTATTATCATGGATTTTTTTTTCCGATTTGAAAGTTTTTATTGTTTCAATAAGGAAGATGGGGTACAGAAAGGAAAACTCTCGTTTTCAAGTATGTCCTTTGTCCACAAAACATTGCATTGTTACAACAGGGTACAGTATTACAAAAAATACAATATACAAACAATATATATATACACATACAAACATATATAAATTTAACACATAACAGGTAATAAATATATTCAACCATGACAGGTGCATTCTGTGCTGAGGTATAGTGCCATAGATCTCTTAAAAGATTTTAGATTGAATGAAGATTTAACTGTGTCCCTGAGGTTATTCCATAATTGCGGTGCTCTGTAGGAAAATGAAGATCGAGCCACTTTTGCATTGCGGCATGCTAAATATTGTGCTGGTACTGGATCATAGGTTATAAGAGGTGGGAACAACTGGGGAGAGCATTCTACTTAGGTAGAGTGGTAGCTTCCCAGAAAAGCTCTTATACAGATAGCTATTGTACATTCAACACAGAACATTTTTAGTTGGAAAGTGTATGTGCTAAAAAATAAGTATAGTAACATTGTCTATCGTTCAACCATATCTCAACATGGTTGGTGACCAGAGCATATAACAAACCAGTTCAGAACAGCCTTAGGCATTTTATCATTGTATGGTTACAAGGTTTTGAGGGTTATCCAATCTCCATGTGCTCCAAAGGTTCCAAACCTCGGCATTAAGTTTGGAGGGGAAGAATATGGTGCGATAAAATTTTTTGTATATGCGTTGTTTGTCTAAGGCTTTAAGCAATTTTGGTTTTGGGGGCACTAGTGGGGATTTCCAAGCTCCTGCAATCAACTGCTGTACCGTTAAAAGAATAGTTAAAAGTATTATTTTCTGTTTACGTTTCAGTGATGGTGGTTGTATATCTAACAGGAGAAATAATTGGGGCATAGAGGGCAGTGAGCAATCCATCACCTGCGCTATTATTGTTCGGATATTTCTCCAGTCGAGGTGAGTTGCCGCCTGCTTGCAGTGGAGTAGGGTGGTGTAACCTGTGCTGCAGACGCAGTCAGAAGTTGGCAAAGGTCCTGTCTAGCCAGGACATGATATTAAGCTGTGCGTCCCTGGCTCTGGAGGAAAACAAGGTCTCTGCCATTATTGTTGAGTTGCTTTAGGGTGCACCATCCCCCATGCCCTCACCCCACACTTCTACTTTGTCTGGAAAGCCTTCTAGAAGTGGACCGGGATCACCCCCACTGGTCCGAGGGGGGAGGAGGGGAAGGGAAGAGGCTCTTGTTCAAGGGCTGCTGAGTCCGGGCACCTCCGCACCGGGAGATCGGCCGCCTCTCCGCTCGGCCCACACCAGGCCACTGCAGCCACGGTGGAATATATACACTCCTTGTGGGTCTCTGACTGCTGCTCTTCATACCTGATATGTCAAGGATCAAAGGTTATACAAGATGTGACCTGAACTGGGTTAATTGGGTTTGTAGATCATTCTGTATGGCAGAATAGTGGAGGAGCTTGGTCATGATGCAACCATCCACCATGACAGTCAGGCCCCGCCATTGGAAGTATTGTCATTTTAAAGGATATTACTGGTTCCGTCCAGGAAAGAAACAGTGGTGTCCACTGCTATAGGTGTGCCCTACATTTTAATGTAGTTGGCGGAATAGAAACTCACAGTTTTTTTTGTGATAGTCAAACCTAGATATTTGATATTCTCATTCTTCCATTCAAAAGAGAAATCTCTGCGGCGGGAGGTCATAAGATTCGACGGAAGCCCTATGCCAAGAGCCTGTGCTTTGGTAGTATTAATGGAGTAGTAGGATACCAGTTCATAGTTTTCTAAACGCATTAGAGATGGCAATGATTGTTGTGCGTGGGTAAGGTACAGGAGGATATCGTCTGCAAATGCGCTAACTTTGAGTTCTTTTCCTGATACTGACACCCCTTGTATTTCAGTATGATCTCTAATGGAGCACAATGATGGTTCTAAAGCAAGCACATGTGGGGAAAGGGGGCACCCCTTCCTTGTTCCATTGGAAACCTGAAATGTGGAATTAAGGAAACCAGACTGCATAACGTGTGCCGAAGGAGAGGAGTACAATATCTGTTGGACAGCCAATGGGGGAAATCCGTATTTGTCCAAAACTTTTTTCAGGAAAGACCAGCCCAAGCGGTCAAATGCCTTTTCCGCATCGAGCTCTAGCAACAGGCCTCCCACACTTGTACCCCTAATCTGTTCTGTGGGTATTGTTTAATCCTGGTTTCCCCCATACAAACCCAGTCTGATCATCGTTTATTAGTGATGGTAGGATCGGTCCGATTTGATTGGATAGCATTTTGGCATCACTGTTAAGAAGGGAAACTGGGTAAAGGTTTTTACATATGTCTAGGGATTTGTCTGGTTTTAGAATGGTAACAATAGTCGCCAATAGCATCTGTGGGAATAAGGTACCTGTTTCAGTCGCACTATGGAAAACTTGTAGGAGATGAGGAGCAAGGACATCTGCAATTTTTTATATTATAGGTTAGTGAAGCCATCTACTCCAGGTGATTTACCAGTAGGCAACTGTTTTATGGCAGCTTTGATTTCCGTTAATGAAAAGGGTTGAAGCAAAGTATCTAACTAGTCAGAATTTAGCTTGTGTAGCTTGAAGATAAGTATGACTCTTGATCAGACAGGGTGTGTGTGTCACGGTTCTCACCGCGACATCCAGACTGCCAGACGAGGTCGACCTAGAAGTGCCCAATAGGGATTTGAACCTGAGTACTCTGCAGTCCTGGGGTTGCTGTTTTTGCCTCTGAGCCACCATACAGCTCAGGAAATTCCAGAAGTCTACTCTTGCCTTGTATCCAGCACTGGGGGCTGGACGTTATCTGAGACTGCTCCTGTCACTCATGGTTCACCTGTGGCTGATCACGGATTAGCCAGGTATAAGACACTGCCTCTCCCTGAGGGCAGTGTCAGTTCATTGACTCTGGTTCAAGTATTGCTGTTTCGTGTTCTCCTGTTGATTCCTGACCTTGGCTTGTTATTTCATGTACCCTGACTTCTGGCATCTTCTGACCTCGGCTCTCTACTGGTTTATCCTGATTTCTGGCACCCACTGACCTTTATGTCCGTATCTGCGACTTGGAGCATCATCCTGCACAGCCCCCGTGTACCGACTCACAGGCCAGGTGAATTCTTACCTGACCACCCTGGCCTGTGTTTACTTGCAAGGGTGAGCACATATATCTGCGCTACAGACTCCCATTCAGGTAAGCCCTGACAGTGTGTGGGCGTCCAGTTTTAAAAGATAAAGTTTTTAGAGTAAAATTTGGCAAATTCTTGGCTAATCTCCTGTGGCTCTATCTTTTCCCCCCATGTTCTCCTATTATGTGGGCTATTTTAGAGTTGGCTATCTTGGTTTGAAGTCTAGTTGGCAGAACTCTAGTTGCTTTTCCAGTGCTATGATATGTTGTGGCTGGAGCCTATGAAGATAGTAGTCAGTTTTGGTAGCATTTAGTGTGGTGAGTTGGTGGTATATGGAATTTAACTTAGCAGCTAAGTCAGGGGACGGTGTCTCTTTGTTGCGGGAAGTGACTATTGTGATTTGTTTGTAACACTCCTTAAGTGCCGACTGTCGTTGCTGCTTAAGTTGGGAGGACCGCTGGATGCATAGGCCCCTGATAACTGCTTTGTTGGCAGACCAAACAGTGGTATCTGAGACCTCTCTTAGTATTGTTGTGAAAGTAGTCTATTAAATTATCCTGTAAGTGTTTAACAAAACGCTAATTTTGGAGGATTGCGTCGTTCATACGCCAATTGCCTCTGCCCTGAAATAGGAATGTGTCAAACAAGGTTAAAAATACTAGGCTGTGATCCGACCAAGAGATGTCTCCTATTGTACAAGCAAAGGTTATGATGTATTTTATTTTGCAAGGTCTACAAGTAAGAATACTTGAATGGTAGTTTTACTATTATTAGGGTGAGAGGATTATGTAGGGGTAATTTATTTAAAGGAGGTTTGGCTAAGAGAGTGATGTTCCCTAGCCACCAAGGGCAGACACTAGTACAAATGTGGGGGTGGTGGGGGCAGACAATCGCATCTATAATTGTATATTATAACTGTGGTTGAATGCACATGTAACAAAAAATGTTGAAATTCTTAAAGGACCACTATAGTGCCAGGAAAACAAACTTGTTTTCCTGGCACTATAGTGCCCTGAGGGTGCCCCCACCCTCAGAGTCCCACTCCCGCCGGGCTGAAGGGGATTAAACACTCACCTTTCTCCACTGCCGTGCTCCCTCAGTGCTGTAGACTCTACTCCTCATTCGGTCGTCATCGGCTGAATGCACATGCGCGGCAAGTGCCGCGCACATTCAGCCAGTCCATAGGAAAGCATTTTCAATGCTTTCCTATGGACGCTGGCGTCTTCTCACTGTGAAAATCAGTGAGAAGCACGGAAGCGCCTTTAGCGGCTGTCAATGAGACAGCCACTAGAGGCTGGATTAACCCATTTGTAAACATAGCAGTTTCTCTGATGTTTACAGCAGAAAGGGTTAATCCTAGATGGACCTGGCACCCAGACCACTTCATTAAGCTGAAGTGGTCTGGGTGCCTATAGTGGTCCTTTAAGTGTTCTTAAGTACAAAGAAGCAAACCAAGATATGTCCTTAAGGGGTTAAGGGCACATGACTACTGTTCTGTTGAGATTGTAAGGTAAAGCCAGTAAACCAAAATGCAATGGCAAAGCCAAAGGGGGAGATTAATATTTATGCCTTCTTTCTCAAATTAATACAGGAATATAAATAAGGTATCATGTACGAAACTCAAAACAAAGATTGTCTTAAAAAAACAAAAAAAAGTTATCATATGCATTTTCTTTGTTTAATCACAGTCAGCAGTTGTCGTCACACTTTTATCACTAAGCAGTCCCAGAAGGCTGGCACCTTAAAAAAAACCCAAAACAAAAAAAAAAACGAAGAGAAGTATCATGGGTTCAAAAACAAGTACCATAACCACTAGTAAGGCAAAGTGAAAATATGCACATAAAATATATATATCTACAAATGGGGCTTGGGGTTGCAGGTTTTTCTTACATTGGTTTCTCTTGCATCTAGATAGTCTTTTACAATGATGACTCATAGCATAATGACAAGATGAATTTTGGGACTGCCCTATATCACCCATTACAGATCCAAATATGCATTATATCAGCACCAGGTGTAGGGTTTACATGAGAGGAGAACTTGTGTGCAGCTCCACTGCTATACCCTATTCTCTTTGGGTTTTTTTAAATCGACAAATGAGAATTACTTTTATTATTTTTATATTTTATTATCTGGATTTGTCCGTTCACCTTGTTGCTAAAAGGAAACAGAGAAATGGAGGACACAAGCAAAAGACCAGCGTGCAATATCAATAGGAAACAAGTTTTTCAGCACAAACTTTCAATGAAGGTGTCAAGTAAAGGGGCCGAAACATTACCGATTTACTTGGCACCTTAATAAAGGTTTACATTTCTTGACGGTTTGTACAGACAATTTGTTTTCTATTCACCTTGTTGCTATGGTTCCATGGTGCAAATTAGAGCATTTTACACAGGAAAGGCTCACTCAAAAAGGTTGCAGTAACCGTTTAAGGCTCTAGTAGGTATCTGACTGCCAATAGACGTGTTTTTTTAGCTAAACATATATACTTACCAAAATGTATAAACAGTATTGTTTTTGATTGTATGCACACGTAAAATGCAGTCGTTTTGGTGCTTAGAGTGTCCCTTTATTGACAGTGATAATAATGTGTGTTCTGAATGGTAGGAAGTGAATTGAAAAGTATCCAAAGAGCAAAGGTTGTTTTTACTAAGAGGATCATGTAAAGAATAGTCACTGTGTCGGTAGTTCTAGAATTGAGAACTAGAGAAATAAAGTAAAGGAAACAAACAGTACTTCTTGCTATTACAAAAGAGTCCTCTGTAATATGGACTTTGGCAGCCAAGTCACTTACAGGAGCAGGGCACACAGGTTTCTGGAGTAGCCCTGAGCAAAAGTTAAAAACATACTTCCCAACTACGGAGGTATGAGATGAGTCGGAGGAGTGGGCAGGTCACGGTAACAGTGTAAAATGATTGGCCCTAATTAGCTGTGGAAGTGCGTATGCCAGGCTGACTGACAGGTGCACTAGATATGCCCACGCAGGGCAGTTCATGAGCAGAATGCTTTTGAAGTGCTCCAAGTATGGGCTGTATGCCCTCAGTTAAGCCACTGATTGTGGAGTTACCTGTGTCTCTAAATGTGGAAAACCAAGGGTATAACTCAGGATATACCCATAAACCTACTACAGGTCATGGGACAGTCGGAATGTATGAAAATGTCTGGAACGATATTAAAGAGACCATCTGATCACCATAAGCACTTTGCAACATCAACATTATTCTAAAATGCATAGTGCATACTGAACCCACTCTCATTACTAGTGACTTATAGTAGTATATAGCTTCTACTGTTACACAGGCTGTTGAGGTAGCTCAGTTGGTAAACCTCCCAGGGCAATTCATCAAGCAGCTCAGAACTATGAGTTTTGGGTTGCCAGTGTAATTTTTTCCCCTAGTGTTGATTACACATTGGATGTAAAATAATAAAGGCTCTTTCCTCCCAGATGAAAGATCCAAGCCACGGACTTAAGGATGTATTCCCGACCCTCTGGTGTTAAAACCACCATCCTGCCCCCCTCATGCCTCCATAAATATAGCAAAATCTTACCGTATTCAAGCCTCAAGCTGTAAGTTTGCATGCTGTCTGCCTCAGAAAAACAAGCTTTATGCTGACATCATTAGAAGTGGTGGCCTGATCCAATCACAGCGCTTCTTTATAGAATTGGCTGAGACTGACAAAGAGGCAGATCAGGGGCAGAGCCAGCACAAACACAACACTAGAGCCAGCACAAACACAGCCCTAGCCAATCAGAATCTCCTCATAGAGATGAATTGAATCAATGAATCTCTATGAGGAAAGTTCAGTGTCTGCATGCAGAGGTGGAAGACACTGAATGTTTGGATGCATTTTAGGCAGCTACCTGAGGAGTGGCCAGTGAAGTCATCACTAGGCTGTAATGTAAACACTGCATTTTCTCTGAAAAGACAGTGTTTCAGCAAAAAGTCTGAAGGTAATGTTTCTACTCACCAGAACAAATTCAATAAGCTGTAGCTGTTCTGGTGACTATAGTGTCCCTTTAATGACAATAGATGAGAGGAAGGATTTCTGGCGCTTGTTTTGTATAAAAATGGCAGCTGATACTTCCCAAACCAGAGTCTCTTCTTTCTGGCCGTAGGCATTGCCTCTGAAGTGGTGGTAACCAAATGTAACCAAATGTCAGGATTTTAACACGGAATGCTGTCCTCACTGAGGTAAAAAAACCAAAAATAAAATAAAGTCCAAGGCAAATAATCCAGAAAGGGATAGACAAAGGCAAGGTGAAGAAAGTCCAAAGGTCAAGAATCCAGGAGGCAATGTTCAGGAGTGGTGAGACAAGCCAAGGGCCAGGTATCCAGGTAAATAACAAAATGTAGCCAATTATTCACTGAAACAGCACAAAACAACTGAGCAATGATAGTTCAACAGTTCTGTGTTTAAATAGGGTGTCTATCAGAGGCCGCGCTCAAGTTGATACACCTCTGCACTGCCTTTTTATTGTGGAGGTCTGTAGTCGCATCCACTGGGCTTTCCTGCGGCTTGCCTTGAGCGTGCACGTCTCCCTGGTGTTTTGTGTTGCCCAGGAGACGTGATGGATGTCAGGTCGGAGATCGCGGCCCTCTCCTTGTAATCACACTTACTCAATGCTCACGCCTGGACAGCCGCAGCTCTGCAATATTGGTGGAGCAGCAAGGGAGCTAAGGTAAGTTATAATAAGTTTAGAATCTCATGCATCTAAAAAAAAGTGTTAATTTTACTGTGCTGAGCAATCCAATAAAACATTTAAATAGAATTAAGTCCCTTTAAGCCACAGACAAAATAATAACGTATATTTAATTTTCTTCTACAGGTGAATTGTAATCTCATGTGTCCATCTGATGACAAAAAGTCACAAAGTGACTGCACCCATGCCAGCATGGAGGAAAAGGGAAGCCCTTTGGAAAGAGTACTCCCTGCAACTGGCACCTCAACACACACCCTCCTCCCGGACCCTCCAGATTCTCCCCCAGAAACCCCTACAGATGAAAAGCGGGCACCTGTGGGAACACCGCACCCACTCGCCCATGTACCTGTCATTAGTCTGGGTCACAGCAGAGTGGCTTTGCGACCAGAACTCACAGCCCTGCACCCTGTACCCTCCCTGATGCTAGCACTTCCTGGGATACGTGGGCCATTATTTCCCCCACAGTACCATGCTCATCCTTTCCTTCCAAGGTAAGCTTGGCACATATGTATAAACAAAAATTGTGAAGTTAGAACTGACATATAAATAGAGTGACGGCACCAGGTATAATGCTGTCTGTACCACAACGAATAGCACAGGGTAAAATAGACTATGCTATAGGAATCACTGCAATCTTGTCATGGCTTTGATTCAAAATGTAGCTGAGGAGTCGAGTTGATGCTGAATTAATAAGGACTTACGACTAATGTAGAAAAGGGAGTTGAGTTCTCCCAGCTAAGTCGCAGGATTTTGGGTGAGGATCTTAGAAGTTAGACATAATACTTCCAAGTGACCAGTTTATTAATAGCTAAGGACAACGTAAGCAAAAGTCATGCTTCACTCAGTTACAGCTAGTTAGCGTTAGGTTTAGCAAAGATTATATCTACAAGTAAGGCTTAAGGAAGATCAGAAATAGCCTCAAAATGTGATGGAATGTTGGCGTAGTGGTGGGCTTAACAGGATATGGCCATATGGTGGAACTGAATCCCCATATTTGTGTTCTGAGATAGGCCTTAAGTAGACTTGTAAAATTAGTATTTTTGTGTCAGTTCACCCCACCCACCTTGATATCACTCCCCCTCCAGTGAGAGGGAATGAGATTACTGGAGAAGGATTGGGCTCACTTAATTACACATAATATTAATAATAATTATAACTAAATAAATTAAAAAAAACAAAACATGCAAGCTTGTTATATTTCCCTAATCATGCTTCATTTTGCAGCCCATACTTGCGCACATCAGGCCTGATTCCTATTTATTCTGGACGTTTTAAAAGAAGAAGCCTCCCAGATATCATGGAGACACCATTCATAGGTATGTGAACACACATCTTCCACATGTCTCCCATTATTATTGATCATAAACAGGTCCCCAACATGTCAGCCAATAGACAGCTGAATCTCCAGAATGAATTATAACAGACCGAATCAACCAGAATTATTGATAACAGACACGGAACCACTAGAATTAGTAATAACAAACACTGAACCCCTAGAATTAGTAATAGCAGACACTGATTTCCGAGAATTAGTAATAATAGACACTGAACCCCCAGAATTAGTGATAACAGGCAACAAACCCCCCAAATTAGTGATAACAGACACTGAAGCCTCCAGAGTTAGTAATACCAGACACTGAATCCCCAGAATTAGTAATACCAGACATTGAACCCCCAGAATTAGTAATACCAGACACTGAACCCCCAGAATTAGTGATAACAGAACCCCCAGAAATACCCCCAGCCAGTAATGTCTAAACCATTGGCAACAAAAGTGTACTCCCTTTTGTTGCCAATGGTTTAGTCATTACTGGCTGTTATTTTGAAGGGACAGCAAATTTACACTGTTATACAGGCTGTACACTCACTACTTTACATTGTAGCAGAGTGTAATTTCTTCAGTGTTGTCACATGAAAAGATATAATAAAATATTATAATGTGAGGGGTGTACTCACTTTTGCAAGATACTGTGTGTGTGTGTGTGTGTGTGTGTGTGTTTATTAGTATTCGTAGACAAGATGCCATAATGCCAGAATATTGCAGTTTGCAATGATACCTTTTTTTTAGTGAACTAACATACATAATATTTAAAAACAGGCTTTTTAAGAGTTTTCCTTTCTTCCTCATGTCTAAAAAGCTTGTTTTTGAATTATTATGTTAGTCCAATAAAAAAAGGTATCATTGCATACTGCAATACTCTGGTATTTTGGCATCTTGTCTACTGGACTAATACGGCTAATCCAATCTACTATATATATACACAGAACAAATTATAAACGCAACACTTTTGTTTTTGCTCCCATTTTTCACAAGCTGAACTCAAAGATCGAAGACTTTTTCTATGTACACAAAAGGCCTATATATATATATATATATATATATATATATATATATATATATATATATATATATATATATATATATATATATATATATATATATATATATATAAAATGTGTGTGTGTGTGTGTGTGTGTGTGTGTGTGTGTGTGTATGTATATATATATATATATATATATGTGTGTATGTGTGTGTGTGTATATATATATATCTCACTTATTGAGCCGAGATAAGACTGGGGAACATGGGTAAACCATGAACTGAAGGGTGCTGTTGTTTATTATTTAGTCCCTGAAATATACTGTCTGGAGCAGTTTAGATAGGTGAAGATGTGCCGAGACTTAGCGGTGTCAGTAGATCCCTGTATATTACTTGAAAGCTGTTTATGTACGTCTGTGGTTATGTATTGGCCTATGGTGACATGCCATAGATGTGACAATGTGATAATCTAAGGTAGCAGGCTGTGTGTCATGGCGGTTGAATAAAGGAAGATGTGGTCTGGTGGGTTTGCAGATTCTGTTATCTATCAATCTTGTTTTCAGCGGGGAATCCTGTGAAGTATGAAACATGAAAGTGAAACAATAGATAGAGGAACGACCGTGGAGGTTATACAGGCACAGAGAAGAGACAACAAGCAGCATGTTGAACTAAGAAGCTTATGTAGACAATGCGAGAGGAACAGCACAAACACAGAATAGAAATGCAACAGATATAATTCACTGTTTAGAGGAAAAAGTAGAAAGGGTTAAAGACAAACAAAGAGAGAAGAACTAACTTAGATTTCTTGAAAGTTAAAAAGGCTATTGTGAAAGCAAAACTATGTGATAAAAAGCATTGTTCGTCACATAATTAGAGAGTCTGACTGCTAGAAGTGATAGTAAATGGCATAACATTCAGGCAGAAGTGGCCTTCAGCAGGTCTTTCAATGACAGGTGACATTGAATCTTAGAAACGTGATAGAGATGTGATATTGACAAATGTCTCTGCTGCAAACTGAATGAAAATGTATCTAGAAACAGAGCAGACAATAGAGAGATAACCCGCTGGTCCAAAAGGAACAAGTGTAGATCACCAGAAAATGTCCTGGCCTGGGCTTCAACCCACAAATGGAATCTTAAGCTAGGAAAGTTCTGAAAAGTAAGAACTTATCTGTGTGGGGAATCACATTTCCTAAGTTAATTATCTTAATTTTTATTTATTTTTTTGTGCACAGATTTACAAGACCGCATACAATGCCACAACAGCATACGTAGTCACAATATTATCACAGGCTTTCACATATGTGGTGTTGAGATAGTGGCACATTTTTTAAGCTTTAAATATAGTAAAGGTTTGTAGATTGCTACAGAAGCTGGCCATGCTGGGGGAGATTAATATAACATGCTCACAGAGTAAATGTGATTTGCACCAAATATGCAAAAAACCCTCTGTGGCTAAAAAAGGCAAAATATAAATATTATATAAATACCCAGCAATAAGAAGTGTGAAGACTCCTCTAATGTCTTCAATATATTAAACATAAAACCATAAAAAGCACGACCTAAAAATACAAAGGGAGACCAATAGTGCAGACAAAAAAAAAGAACTAAATACTATAAAAAGGGAAACTATAAAACACTCACAAACATAGAAGTAAAAAGGCAGGGTATAATCAGTCTTCTTCAAGTGCTTCTTCTTTTTCTTGTGTATAAAGATGAATACTTAGAACAAAGCACAGAAAAAAAACATAGTGTATAGCTGTATGGTATTCGAAAAATTGCTTTATTATATGCACTTACAAAATAAAAGAAGTAAAAGGGCTCATCAATTCAAATCACATCCGCTGTCTGCCATCCAGAACAAGTTAAACGCCAAAAGAAGGAGACAAAATGAATGAAAAAGAGTCCAAAATAAAAGAATTTACAAGTCATGAAATAAAGCTTGCCACCCTACGCGTTTCGTCTAGAAGACTTTGTCAGGGGCTCGTGGCAACAATACACAATACACATACAATTACATTTAAATACCCTGCCATGAAAAAACCTTTAACCAATCACAAAACAAAACTTCTAATTAAGTCCACCTTAAAGTAATCTCTTCTATCTCATTCCGTTCCCTTTTCGCGCTTCTTGAAAGCGCTTGCGTCCCAAGCCTCACTTTCAGTAGTGCCGGAAAAGACCACCGGTCCGCATTCGGAGCGCTTGAGTTACGTCATTTCCGGGCGCCACCGGAAGTTGTCACAGGTCCGGAAAGAAAAATCACTCTCTTTGGAACGCAAATCCCTTTGTATTTTTAGGTCGTGGTTTTTATGGTTTTATGCTCACAGAGTATTTTAACTAAAGACAGCGTTGCTTAACTGAGGGCATATGCAGTTATGAAAAAAGTTTGACTGTTGCAGGAAAAAAAATTCAACCCTGGCTGGGAATTGAAACCGGCCCATGGTAGTGAGAGTGGCAAATCCTAACCATTAGACCACAAGGGAACTGCAAAAGTACTGGAAACTGTGAGAATACAATTGGGTGGTATTTAGGAGGTCATAGTTTCCACAGAACAGTGCATTTCACACACTTGTATTTCACAGCACAGAAAATGTCAGCAGGGCCCATTCTGCCACAGTTTTACTCACTTTGCAGTGATTAGACCGCAGCAAGATCGCTTATTCTAAAGGCTACAACAAAGCAAATGTGAAAATATAGTGCAAGGAAAGATTCAATCAACTGTTATCTAACAATCTTGTTATCTGCATGTGTTGTGCATAGCTCTGGAGTAACTTTAAATCTATTTATATGTTGCACTTTGTATGTATTTAACAGGTAGAAATGAGTACTGCTCTTGCAGGCTTCGTTGTGTGTTAGTCATCAGATCTCAAGTCACCACTGAAGTACCTTTGATAGCTAGAGCCAGATATCTTGATGAAGATTTTGAAAAACAAGTAGTCTTTTGCAGTGTTTTGGAGGTTTCACGGAGAGGTTATTGTGATGATTGAGGTTTCATGGGAGGTTATACTGGATAATGGATGTTTCATGGAGAGTCGATACTAAATGACTGAGGTTTCATGGAGAAGTAATGGTGGGCAAGTGAGATTTTTTTGAAAGGGAAGGGGGATGATTGTGGTTTCATGGAGAGTTCATCCTGATAAATGAGGTTTATTGGAGCATTAATGGTGGATGATTGAGGTTTGATGGAGAGTTGATTTTGGATGATTGCGGTTTCATGATAGGTAATGGTTGATAAATGAGGTTTTATTGAGAGTTGTTGGAGGATGACTGAGGTTTCATAGAGAGGTAATGCTAGATGATTGAGGTTTCATGGAGAGGCGATACTGGATGATTGAGGTTTCATGGAGAAGTGATGGCAGATGACTGGCGTTTCATAGAGAGGTGATACTAGATGATTGAGGTTTTATGGAGAGGAGATACTGGATACTTGGTGTTTCATGAAGTGGTGATACTGGGTGACTGATTTTTCATGGAGAGTTGATACTGTATGATTGAGGTTTCATGGCGAGTTGATACTGGATGACTGAGGTTTCATGGAGAGGTAATGGTGGATGATTGAGGTTTTATGGAGAGTTCATGGTGGATGACTGAGGTTTTATGGAGAGGGGATACTAGATGCTTAAGGTATCATGGAGGTGAGATACTTATTGATTAAGGTTTTATGAAGAGGTGATACTGGGTGACTGAGATTTCATGGAGAGGTGATACCTCAGCCAAGCACGCTTCTTAGCTTTAACTGGGACACCCGTAGCGCTTCAGCCCCCAGTCGCCGCAGCTTGACTGGGGTCTATCTTGAGTTTCCCACCCTGGAACAGGTCCTGTGCTACAGCTCAAAGTGATCAAGCTCTCCTGCAGAATGTATAGCTGTCAGGTCCCCTGCCCGTTCGCTGATCTCGGCGGCTTCTGGTACTGCGGATTGCGCAGACATTCTCTCTGCCACGTGCAGCATGCTTAAATATGCACCCGAGTCAGCCACCCAATGAGGCGCATAATGATGACCTCAAGGGTAAAAGAGGAAGGGTCAAATACCTTCCACGTGTTACAAAAGGAAATTAACCAATCAGAAATTAATCATACCTATTTAAGCTTGCCGATGTCATCCCTTGTTGCCCTGTTGTGGTATTTGATAACCCAATAGCATGTTTTCTCTGTCTGATTGTTGGTTACCAAATTTTGGCTTTGTCTCTCGTTTATCCTGCTTTCTCTGATCCTTGACCTCGGTCTGTCCTACTGTTATTCCGTATCTCTGTACTCCATTGACTTCGGCTTGTACTCTTACTTCCCTCTATTTGCATAGCCCGGCCACTCTAAAGACTGGTATTGCAATTCCTCCCCCTGTGATCTGTCAGTGTGTTTGGTTCCGGAACCGTGACAATAGCTGAGACTTAGTGAAGGGTGAATAAGAAGTGGGTTTATTGAGCAAAAGCACACAGATTTATATCCAGAACCCCAGCATGGGGTCTCCATTCATTGTAACATAAGCCTGCCCAAGTGCCTGTGTCTGGGAGATAATTGTTTAAACTATCAGTTAAACTAATTATCTAATGATTATAATATAAGTGAGCATCCCCATATGTTATATATCCCCGAATAGCTCGTGCCCGAGCCCCCAATCTGTCCAAATAGCACATTGATCGGAGATGGCTGGCTCGATTTGGATGAAAGTCAAAGTTTTAGTGGGAAGTGGCTGCTCTCCGATCCAGTGCAGAGTTTCATGGTGCTAGGGTGAATGTCCTGGTCACCCAAAACAGCAGCGCTTTCCCCAACATTAACACTGTTGAGTAAAATGTTGGATAATCATTACATTTACTTTTTGATTGAACAAAGATGAATTTAGACACCATACATAATAAAGGTTACAGACATCTGGAGAACTCTTACTGACTGCTAAAGGTTTCTCGATAATTTATAACAAGAAATATAGTTCCATGGATTAGTTCTTATGAATATTTAAGTTATCAGCATACATTTTAAAATGTATTAAAGAATCCATTTAAGTTATATTGGGGTATATGAGATGTTCATTTAACAAAAGAATCTCTGGGGACTTTAAAAAAAAAAAAGATAAGTGATTATTTGCTATTTTTCAGTTGAAGTAACACTGTACTCCATTATTTTAGTGCGTCAGCCCCAGAAAGTTGCTCGTCGTGTCTTCACAAACAGCCGAGAACGATGGCGACAACAGAATGTAAATGGAGCATTTGCTGAATTGCGGAAACTCATCCCCACACATCCCCCAGATAAGAAGCTGAGTAAGAATGAAATCTTACGCCTAGCCATGAGATACATAACCTTCTTAGTAACACTGCTCAGTGACCAACACGGCACTAACCCTAAGCCATCACCTACTACAAAGAGACTCTCATCTCCTGTACGGGAACTGACCTCAAAGGTCAAGGAGAACCCCAACCCCAGACTTCATGGAGTAAAGGAGGAAGAGAAAAGCAGGGGTTATGGTGGTATGGTGGTGGTGTCTCCAATATCTGGAAGCTGTGGGGAGAGTCTGGAGAGTGAAGAGGAAGATGTGGAGAGTAATAGTGTTTCACCTCCTAATGGCGCTCAACGAATACTGATAAGATCAGAAGCAGATGGGAGTCGGTGAGGCTTGGGGTAAGGGGGAGAATGAGATTAAACTGAAAGTTACCTTCTCATTCCTCTCTCTTCAAGTTGGGCAAATCTTTCTTATTAATGCACTAAATTGTCCCAAATACAACAAGAAGAGAGCATCTTGTGTATATATACATACTTCAAATATCAATCCAGAGACTTTACCAAACACCCTATTTGGGAAACCAAAATAGAATACTATATGCCCATACTAGCTTTCTAATGAAACAAACATCTCAAGAAATGTCCATCAGTACAAAGCTGGTTTGATATACGAGTCTATTTGTTGACATGCCCATTTTCCTTTTCAAAAAGTAGACAATTGGGTATAGTTGCTAGAGCATCCTCTTCTACTGGATTTCTGGAATACAAGAATGCACTGAACTTTGCGGAATAAGCTTCCCCTAATGCAATTTTTACTGCAGCAATGAACTGAAATGTTTTACTTCTGACACTGGAGTGTGTGGACAACATGTGAAACTTGTAACACTGGTTTCCTTATGTGCTACTGCCCCCCTCTACCCAAATACTATTGTATCGTGAAATAAGGTTGAATTACAACTGCTTCTATGGAATGCTATGCTGGGATTATCATATTAACACTGGAAGCTACATAGATACATTTCATGGAATACTCAGCAGCATTTGTGTATTTAATATATAGCTGCATTGGACTACACTGGAGTATATTGCACTGCATGACAATCAATGTAGCCCTGGAACAATAGAAGAAACAAGTTAACACCCAGAATGCAATGCTAGACTGTACTGCACTATGCACATGAGAATTCTAAAACTCCATCTTAATTACTGGGTTCTAGAAAGTGAATTTTAGAACTGCAAAGCACTGAATGCATTGTTAAAAAAATGAATGAACAATAAAGTCTATAGATACACTGATAGTCAATGGAACTGCATTATCTATATTTTCCATAATACTTTGTGTTTATTGGTTGTGTATTGGGGAAAAGAGATACCAAGACAAATTATGTTTTAAGCACTCTAATGAGGCTTGGTGGGATGCACCTTGAAGGCTCTGTAAGAAGAATTGGTTAGAGCAACGAGCAGGAACATTTCAATGGTTTCCATGGTAATTAACGTTTGATCTTTGTTTCAGGACCAGCCTTTTTTCACAATTTTTATTTAACAATAAATATAATAATTTCAATATAGAAAAGTGGTTAGCAGGTTAGCAGAAAGCAATATTTAAATGTGGAACAAGAACACATGCCCATTCATAGCAAAAATAAGACGACGAGAGTATAGGGGCAGAACATGGAATAGATAAAAGAGGGAAATTTGAGAGTTTAAGAGAGAAGGAAAGAGAGCAAAAAAATAATGCAATGGGATTTAGAAGGAGGAGCATATGAAGAGAAAGGGATGGACTGTGAGGCAGAATGTAATGTAAGGCCTATGATGACCTTTACGCAATCAGCTCTTTGTAACTCAAGACAATCTGTTCCGAAATCTCTCAATCAAGAACGTGGATCACAGGGGGTCAAGTAAATGAGTAGGTTCCGTTCTTTATTGAGGTTTCACGTTACTCCATTGCCCATATACCCTAAGCTTATGTGAACCACTCTTAGAGATTGCTGGAGACTGACCTTAAAAAAGGGAATAGTGATTTTGGTTACAAGGCCTTAGACAGTTGCCTCGCTCTGGGTAAAGGCTTTCTGCCTTTGATGGTGTCCCTTGTTTTTTACAGCTTAAACTACTGTAACAGATACCCTTTTTAATTCTGGACCTTTCTGCAAATTCCTGAAAATTCATATATTTATAAAAGCCTTTCATACTACAGTCCCCAACTGACCTCCTCATAACCAACCCCTCTATGCTGAGCTCAGTGCTTCTATAACCTCTTTCTAATATTCATCATCCTGGTCTCTGCCTATTATCCCCAGTTGCAAATATTAAATGGTACTGCAACCCTACCTTTTTATTTTTTTCCTTTACAGTGCCCTACTGGGCACTATTTTATTCCCCCACCCCAATTAGTTAAAAAAAATAATCTGCTTAAAACATTAAATCTACAACCAGGAATCTGATTAAACCGTTTGACCGGCTCAGATAAATGCGTTCTCAGTCAGTAAGGGGAGGGAAGGGGTGGGAGGCAGGGACAGCATGGCTGTGAAACAGGGAAGGAGGGGAGATACATGCTACAAGGGAGAAGATCATTACGTTTGTTGCCAATGCGCTGATGACAGACTTAAAAATTTACATCAGGCAGACTCAAACAGTGTGTGGCGGGGTTTTAACTAGCCCCTGGCACAAAAGCGCAAATATCTCATGACTGCTGACCCTCTCCCTTTACCTTTCGTTACCCTTCCCCCCCCCCCAATAACTCACAGACAACCAAATTGTGGGTAAGGGCAACAGCCACAGCTTTTATTATTAAGCCAGCATAATTTAAACTAACTGTCAGCTGCTGGATTTTCCCAGCAGACAGCTAACATAACTTAATTCTTCCAGAGCCTCTTCAGCCTGAAGTCCGTCCTCAACCTGACCAGGCTGAGACTCCCCAAGCCCGTCCGGGCACTGCTCTCAGTTCCACTTGCTGGCGAAGGACAAACCGCCACCGCAGCCTCTCTCCTATCCCTGGAGAGGACTGCGTCCCCCCGAAGCCAGCGCCTGTTCAATGGCTGACTGTAATCCCAAATTAAACATATCCAGCCCAATTTCGTTTAGGTGGACCCCATCAGCCCTCATTATGTTTGCGTTGTTCCCTTCCAGCTCCACATGACGAGCCACAAAGCCACCCAGCCTACGCACAAAATGTGAAATCGTCATGTTGAACCATCGCCTGTGTGGCAGCGCCCCCCAAGCCGGACGAGGAATGACTTCAGACCACACCAGTGTGACCTTGCTGAAAAGCGCCATACAGCAAGCCAAGTCGTGCTTGCAAGCATAAATCAAATCCACTGCGCGGAACTGTCCCAAGTCATTCCCCCCGGCATGAAGTACCAGAACCACTGACCTGGTCACTTGGTGCCACCCCAAACCCCGTATCCCCTGCCATCGAACCCTAACCTGCTCATGCAGGAGCCCTAGATTCCGGCCGTATGGTCTCTGCTCGGCACGCCTAGCCGCCCAATAAATAAAGGAGTGACCGATGATCCAAACATACCGGGGGGAACCTCTAGAGAAAAACAACACATCATAACTACCAACAACCTATAACAGATGTTAACGAATATACAACTGAAACCTGCGGGAATCCCATTGACCCATGCGCTGAACTGCAGCATCGGACAGGCCTACCTGCTGCGCCTGCGTTGCTGCACCAATCCGGAAGGAGTGGGGAGAGTATCCCTTATCCTCTATACCCAAAGCCCGCAAACCAGCCTTAAAAACACTGGAGAACTGAGACCGAGTTAAGACTGACCCATTTGCGTGAAGCAAGAAGGACTCCGCTGCCTCCGGCTGTAAACATACATATTGCCCTACCAGCGCCACCGGACACCAGCTACCCCCAGTAGCACCAATGCTAACCGACCTCCCCCGTCCTAACTGATCTGTTTTGGACTTCCGAATGAAAACCTCCACTCTGCCCTGTGCGAACGTCCCCCTTCCGAAGAGATGCCTGAGCCCTAGCCGACGCGGCCACCAACTCTCCTATTCGCAGCGCTCCATAAAAACACAGAGAAAAGGCTACTCGGAAAAGCAGTGCCTCGAAGGTGGAGAAGCACACCGCATAGAGAACACCACACAGAGCATCCAATAGGTGGATGGACACCAGCCGCCTACAATCAGGGACCCTTTCCTTCCTCCATCCCCAAAGCACCCTCTGGACCACAAACTCTTTTGAAACGTCCTCCCACCCCATACAACGCATCAGAAAGGAAAGAGCCACTAAACTGCGTTCCACCGATGCTAATGAAGCTGCGCGCTCCCGTAAGGAGGACATGTAAGCCAAAGTAGACAGCAACCTACCCTCAGCGGAATACAAACCACCGATCCCACACTGCCCGATAGGCTGTCCACGAAGCGGGAGCCAGCGATCTCCTGAACAGGTCTGCTAGGTTCCAAAATTGAGGGTCCACAAGCACGTGGGACATACCAGACCATCTTCCTCGGCTCCCGGGGCGACCTCCCGAAAACGATCCCACTGAAAGCGAGAAAGAGAATCGGCAATAACATTAGACACTCCGGGAACATGGATTGCTCGGAACAAAATGTTAAATGCCAAACAACGCAGAACCAACCGACGCAACAGAGCCAATACTGGAACCGAGCCAGATGATAAACGATTCACCACATGGACCACACTCATGTTGTCCGTGCGGAAAACCACCTGCCTGTTCGCGAACTCCTACCCCCACAATTCCACTGCTACCACAATAGGGAAAAGCTTGAGAAAAGTCAAGTTACGTATCAGGTCCGCCTCGTGCCACTGGCCAAGGCTCCGCACACCAACGACCCTGAAAAAATGCCCCGAAACCCAAGGAGCTGGCGGCATCCGTAAACAACTCCAGGGCCACGTTAGATATCGCTTCCCGTCGCCTCGGGGTGCTCTCCAGTGGTCTGGTAAGTATTACGCAGTGTCCCTGGTCCAGGTGCATCACAAACATTGTATCCACTTTTCGCCATTCCAACCTCTCCGGCAGCAGTCATGCTCCCCCCTCCTTATCCACTCTGGGGGTTGGCCTGTATGTGCATTGTTTCAAGCAAACTCTGCACATACAGACTCTTACCTTCTCTAAAAGTAGAAGTGGTTATGGTGGTTGGAGTAATCCTTTAATCATGCCAGGGCCTATCTGATCCTAATAATTAATTTGATCATTAATGACTGTACAAATACTAATCCACTTCCAAATTAAGGAACCTTGTCATAAAATATCAGATGGGGAAAAAAAAAATATTCAAATGGCCTTTCTATTGTTGTACTATCTAGCAATAATTTTGGACTAGCATGCAAACAGTGGCAAGAAGGCAGATACAACAACTTGACAGTAGATTATCAGGATTACTTACTAAAGTGAATTTAAAATTTAAGCTTACGCAAGCCAAAGTGGAAGCTATCTGAGTTAGAAAAATTTTAAATTTAAGCTATTTTGGCCTTAAATTTGAAACTCACCTTGAATTCTCACTTTTATAAATAACACTGTATTTAATGCTGATCTGAGTCAGGCCTCTTTCACTTTTACACCTCAGTTAATAGGTCCCAGTGCAGCACTTATTAAAGGGCCACTCCCCTGCCCAATTAAAAAAAAAATACCCGTCCCTTTTCATTTTGCAAAAACAGCAAATCTCTTGTCTGAAACCTTTACAAGCCCTCCCCTTGTAACCCAGCCCCAGACTCCCCAATGCATTTCAATGAGAAGTCTCGGGGCAATTGCTGCCTCTTGAAGTTTAGCTCTTTGGAGTAAAACGGTACTGACTAAACAGACAGAAAATAATGTATGACTGGCAGCCAGGGTGCTGTAAAAATGTTTATTTATGAAAGTGCCAATTTCTATTAAAATCTGCACTTTTTGTAATATGAAAAAAGCACAGTTCAGCAAACTAAAGTGCTTTAGGGGTCTGCAGTGCCCCTTTATGTAGATAGATCAGCTTGCAAATAATGTACACTAGCGGAATACCTCATTTTATTGACGACTTGTGTGTCAATATGTGTGAATGTTTAGAGGGTTGCGTGTGCCTGTGTAGAAGCACTTGCCAGATTGGATTTGCGGAAGCTGGTGGTTTTGCCGTTTGTGTTTCACAATTTAAGAGAGGAAGACAGAGGTGTGTGGCTAGCTGAGGGGAGGGTGGCTTGGAGGAAGTGGGACACTTATCAGGAGAGGAGAGGGAGTCATTACTAATAGCAAGAAGAGAGAGAAAGGAGGAAAAAACAAAAAATACCAGGTAGGAAAAAACAAGAAAAGTATAGTAAGAACGATAAACAGTGAAGGAAAGAAAACAAGCCCTTGTGTAATAAAGCTGACCCCTAACAAGGTGGATATCCTGACAATGAGAGAGCACAGAGCATAATGGGTAATCTCCTATATCCCTTCGTTTTAGACAAATACTTAACCCTTTAACACCCAACCTAACCCAACATTCCCCTTGAAATAAATAACACAGACACCATGATGGGAGGTAAAGCCATTGCTTGCCGCATTTATCGCATAAATAACCATGGCATCATGGCAGAAAAAAACATTCAAACAGAACTGCCGTAACATATATAACTACCGGTAGTAACCAAATTTAGCTAGGGTGGCGGCACTGAGGGCTAAACTCCTCAGCCCACAAGAGGATGCGGCTCACCTATCCTGCAGCGGAGCACCCATTGCATACGCCCAAGCAGAGGAATAAGGAGAGCAAGGGAGAATCTTTGTCACGGCCACTTTGAACGCAGACTGCAGGCAGGTGCCCCAGCCGGGCGACTACCCAAGAGGGGGAAAAGCCCAGCCTCCGTGCCGCCATCACTCCCACCCTCTCTCTGCACTACGCTCTAAAGCCGCACCATCTCACGGTAGAGGGAACCGGAAGCTCCAACCCAGGAGAGCCAAGGAACCTTCTGGCCGTCATAACCAAAGGTATCTGAGGGGAGAGACTAAATTTACCACCAAGGGACTCAAAAGGCGAGTTTGACTAAACAGGCCCCGCCGCCAGCACATCTCTAAATTAATCCGCCCAGAGGAGGAACTAATTCAGCGCCACGCCCAGGAGAACAAGTACACAGATAACAAAGGGGAGGGAGAACTTCAGGAGACAGCAGGAACCAAAAGGAGTGACAGGAAACAGAGGAGCCTCTTAAAAGGTAAGGGGAGGCCCCTTCCATCATACTGCAACTATTTACTGCCTAAACTACTGTCCCAGTAAAAGATCCCATTAATTACTTTTCAGGCCCACTAGGGGGCCCTACACTCCCAGTAATACCAAACCACATGTCCCTGGTGCAGAGCTAAAGGTTAACCAATCTATTTAGAAAAATATAAAATAATGAAATGTTCACTCCAAGACCATAAAGCAGGGGTAGGCAACCTTCAGCACTGAAGACATTGTGGACTACATCTCCTAAAATCCTCTTACAGCCATACAAGTAGGTGGATAGTGCACCCTGGTAAGTCCTTGGGCTTTGTAGCCGCCGCTATTAGTCCAGTTTCTGCCCGCCAGGCAGGAGCTCATGTCACCCACATCTGCTCAGCTCAGTGGTCAAGCTCCGCCACTCCCCGAACATAAATTTAAGGAAATCCCTGAACGTAGACATACGCACCAGAGCAGGGAATCCCTCTAATCTATGTTCGGGGAAATTTCCCTGAACATAGACCTGCACTGGTGCGCATGCGCCTCACTTACCGACTAATTCGTTTTATGACAGAGTCATAAGAACGGAACACAGTCGGTAAGCGAGGAGCATCTGTAGTTTAGTTTCATAACCTTTATTGAAATTGTGACATTGAGGTGGGCGAATGAGATTAGTCTGTGTGTGTATCTGTTCATCTGTATTTGTGTTAGTGTGTGTATTTGTATGTGTGTTAGTGTATGTCTGTGTATCTGCATGTCTGTACCTGTGTATCTGTATGTGTGTCGGTGTTTGTACCTGTGTATCTGTGTGTTAATGTGTGCCCCTGGTATGTGTATGTCTATGCATCTGTATGTGTGTTAGTGTTTGTATATTAATGAGTGTCATTGTGTGTATCTGCATATGTGTCATTGTGTGTGTCTGTATATCTTCATGTATCTCAAAGGGTGTCAGGGTGTGTGTGCATCTAGATATCTGTACCCGTGTATCTGTATGTGTCAGTGTTTGTATCTGTATTTGTGTCAGTGTGTGTATTTGTTTGTCTGTGTAGCACTGGGCACACTAACTATGTGTATTAGTGTGTCTGTGCATCTGTATGTGCTAGTGTGTATGTCTGTGTATCTGTACGTGTGTCAGTGTGTATTTTTGTGTCTGTGTAGCTCCAAGTGTGTCTGTGTATCAGTGTATATGTGTATACTCCAACACTTCACATAAATACACCCCTACTACACATAAGTAAACCACTGCTTTCAAATGGCAACAGTACATAAAAACACACAACACAGCACTACACACAAATACACCCCTACAATCACACACACACACACATACTCCATACAAAACATGTTTATATTCAAACACTGCCCAGTGCTAAGTACAACCCTGCAAGGATGAGCAAAGCATTGTGAAAGTTGTATTTTTTCCATCCTTGAGATAGGGTGGCCCTCCACTGCCTGTAAGGGAAGTACTGGGGGTCTAGTGCACACATGAGACAATCGGTGCGCTGTACCAATTAGTATCTCCTCATATATATGCATTGACTCAATTCATTTCTATGGGGAGTACATCTTCATGTAGGAGTGTAAAGACCCTGAACATCGGTCCTGCAAAGATTGCAGGATTGCCACCTAGCTTGTGGCTAAATGACAACCACCTGACAGTGGTCATAGTGTAAATACAGCTTTTCTCAGAAAACTGCAGGCAGTCTATTTGCACTAGAAACAATACATTAAGCTTTAGAGGTTCTGGGGCATTGTGCCCCATTAAATGTCCTTAGAAAGACTGATGAGCTTGCCCTGTAATTTGCATGTTGTGCAATTACCAGTATACTAAATAAACCTAAAAGATCTAATATATGCACATTTTTACTCTGTGTTCACAAATCATGGACCTCTGAAAACCTTAGTTTCTCCTTGGTGAAGAATTAGAGAGAAGCAATAGCGCACACTAGTGCACAAACATAAAACGACAGCTTCTGTTTCTGTTGTACTTCTACAGCTAATGTTTTCAAATTACATCTAGATTTTGATGCTGAATCCTCTTCCCTCCTCTGTTGTGTTCTCCGCCTTTAAAGGGACACTATAGTCACCAGAACAACTACAGCTTATTAAAGGACCACTATAGTGCCAGGAAAACATACTCGTTTTCCTGGCACTGTAGTGCCCTGAGGGTGCCCCCACCCTCAGGGTCCCCCTCCTGCCGGGCTGGATGGAGAGGAAGGGGTTAAAATCTTACCTTTCTCCAGCGCCGGGCGGGGAGCTTTCCTCCTTCTCTCTTCCTTCCTAGCGACGTCATCGGCTGAATGTGCATGCGCGGCAGGATGCTTTCCTATGGACGCTGGCGTCTTCTCACTGTGATTTTCACAGTGAGAGGCACGCAAGCGCCTCTAGCGGCTGTCAATGAGACAGCCACTAGAGGCTGGATTAACCCTCAGTGTAAACATAGCAGTTTCTCTGAAACTGCTATGTTTATAAAAAAAAGGGTTAACCCTAGCTGGACCAGGCACCCAGACCACTTCTTTAAGCTGAAGTGGTCTGGGTGCCTATAGTGGTCCTTTAAATTTGTTCTGGTAAGTAGAATCATTCCCTTCAGGGTTTTTGCTGTAAACACTGTCTTTTCAGAGAAAATAATCTCTGGCCACTCATCAGATAGCTGTTAGATATCCTTCCTGGGTCATGGCTGCCTAAAATGCATTCAAACATTCAGTATCTCCTCCCTCTGCATGCAGACATTGAACTTTCCTCATGGAGCTGCATTGATTCAATTAATCTCTATGAGGAGATGCTGATTGGCCAGAGCTGTGTTTGTAATGTGCTGGCTCTGCCCCTGATCTGCCTCCTTGTCAGTCTCAGCCAATCCTATGGAGAAGCACTGTGATTGGATCAGGCCACCACTTCTGATGATGTCAGAGGAAGTTCACAGGCAGAGGCAGCAGCTTCAGACTTGAAAACCAGTAAGATTTTACTATCTTAAGCGAGGCAAAGAGGGCTAGATAGTGGCTTTAACACTATAGGGTCAGGAATACATGTTTGTGTCTTAGGGCGCACCGGTAGGGGGGCGCTAGAATGGAGTGACCGGTAGGAGGTGGGCGCATAGCGCTCCCTCCTACCAGTCACTCTGTGTAGCTTGGCCGAGCAGAGCAGTGCGCATCGCGGTACAAGAACGTCTGTTTCCTGTAACAGGCCAGACTGAAAGGAAGTGCTCACTGAGAGAGCACTTCCTGTCAGTCCGGCCGTGTACAGGAAACTAAAGCTCCTGCTCCGCTCAGCCATGATACAAAGAGAGGCAGGAAACACACTTTGGACTGTTAGTGGGGAAGAGAGGGGAACAAAGGGACGGGGGGAGGGGGAGGTAAGGAAGAACACTATGGGGCAGAGGAGGATGAAAGAACAATATGGGACAGGGGAGGGGGTTGGAAGAACACTATGGGACAGGAGGGAGGAAAGAACACTATGGGACAGAAGAAGGGGTGGTGGTGGTAAGGAACACTATGGGACGGGAGTGTGTGTGGAAGAACACTATGTGGGAGGAGAGGAAAGAACACTATGGGACAGGGGAGGGGGGAAAGAACACTATGGGACAGGGGAAAGGGGTGATAAGGAAGAATACCATGGGACGGGAGAACATTATGGGACAGGGGAGGGGAGGTGGTAAGGAACACTATGGGATGGGGAGGTGGAAAGGAACACAATAAGATGGGGGTAGGGGGAGGAAGAACAGAATGGGACAGGGGAGCGAGGGAAAGAACACTATATATAAATATATATATGCATACGAGCGTATAATTTTTAACATTTTTCCCCAGGACTTGACCCCTGGAGTTAACCCTGCAAGGTAATTATTGCAGTGTCTCAATAACTGCAATCATAATTACAGGGTTAAGGGGACTGGGACAGTGCACCCAGACCACTTTAATGCTTTGTTTCTATGAAAAGCCCTAATTCAGATTGGACAAAACATTCAAAGTGAATGCGAAATAACACCCGTCTTGCTGTCTGATTGAAAGCTCGGAGAGTTCAATTTATGTCATTTGTAAAATTGCCAATTTTAAAAGGAAATGTAAGGGTTTCTATTAGCTCCACTCAGGTGAACCCTGTCTGAGAGCATAGCGGTCACATTTATCACTGTCAATTCCCAGGTCAGCAAAGTGATTTAAATATTAATATTATTGTTTCATTAATAATATTACCTTGTTACAATGAGGCCAGTATAGCTTACTCTGTACTGTGGTTCTTCCAGTTCTGGACCTGTCTGAGTGCTCACTGACTCATGCTGACAAGTCTGTGAGTGCTCACTGTCTCTCGCTGACAAGTCTGTGAGTGCTCACTGTATCTTGCTGACAGGTCTCTGAGTGCTCACTGTATCTTGCTGACAGGTCTCTGAGTGCTCACTGTATCTTGCTGACAGGTCTGTGAGTGCTCACTGTCTCTTGCTGACAGGTCTCTGAGTGCACACTGTCTCTTGCTGACAGGTCTCTGAGTGCTCACTGTCTAATGCTGACAGGTCTGTGAGTGCTCACTGTCTAATGCTGACAGGTCTGTGAGTGCTCACTGTCTCTCGCTGACAGGTCTGTGAGTGCTCACTGTCTAATGCTGACAGGTCTGTGAGTGCACACTGTCTCTTGCTGACAGGTCTGTGAGTGCTCACTGTCTAATGCTGACAGGTCTGTGAGTGCTCACTGTCTCTTGCTGACAGGTCTCTGAGTGCTCACTGTCTCTCGCTGACAGGTCTGTGAGTGCTCACTGTCTAATGCTGACAGGTCTGTGAGTGCTCACTGTCTAATGCTGACAGGTCTCTGAGTGCTCACTGTCTATTGCTGACAGGTCTGTGAGTGCTCACTGTCTAATGCTGACAG